ACACACACACATATACACACACACACTGTCAAAGGTACATATACCTTAATATATACACAAGGAGATATATTTTGTTTACTATAATGTTGTTATAAAACCCGACAACTAGGCAAAGAAACAAATATACCACTGGTAAATGAGCACCTAAAATGAATTGAACAGTTTATCTTATTAACATAGATATTAGAAACATAATCTTGAGTCTAAAAACCAAGTTGCAAGCTGTTACGTGCAGTAATACAACTTATCTACATTTTAAAGCAACAAAATACCACTATCTAGTATGTATGAATACACATATACCTGAAATATATATATAAACATGGCTTAGACAAACATCAAATTTATGATAAGGTGACCTCTGGGGAACGAAAAAAATGGGACTGACAAAAACAACAACAACAACAATAACAATATATATATATATATATATATATATATATATATATGAAACTCCAACTTCAATATTTGATTTTTTTCAAAATAGAAGACCTGAGGTTAGAGTAGGGGAGGTTAATATGCATTAGATCTGAGAACCAAGTGTAGCTCTTGAATTTTTCTGTATTAAAAAAAGTGTTGAATATACACTGACTTCTGGAATAAAATATTTTCACAGTGAAACAGAAAAGGACTGATTACAGTACAGACTCTGCCGTTCTGGGTGTGTAACCTGGGCGTCCCCTCAGCCAGGACAACCTCAGAGTGGACACTGCAAACCTAACGGGCGCCAGGTGTGTTGAGGACACAGAAAGTTCTATGGCATGAATCACATTCAGCAGAAAAGCTTACCTATGAGCTAAAGACCAAAGGTTATGACAGAGTGTCTTTTAGGAAACAAAGCTACTGTTTTGCAAAACCCTCAGAAACAACAACTAAACAACTGCATTTGGTCTCTGATTCATGCCCATTTCTTTTCCTCTTCCTTATATCTTTTTTTCCACCTCACCTGTTTCCTTCCATCAAAGTAATGGCTATTCTGAGGGCAGAGCTAATAGGCCCTCTGAAGGCTGAGAAACAGCTCATTCTACCTTCGCTTCCCACACATTATGGGGTGCAATATCTTAATAGCAGCATCTATCAAAGAGCCTTGGAGAATTATGGCTTGTCCATTAAAAATCTCTCTAGCACTAATATGCCAGGACTAAAGGGAGAACTAAATTCTAGATCTGCAGGAGCTTCAGGTACATAGGGATAGCATAGTGTGGCTACTCATCTCAGCAAACCAGCTGCTACAAGCTAAACACCAGCTCTCCAGAATGCCCACAATTTCACTCTCTCCTATCATGGACGGATGCAAAATGCCTGCCAATCTCCTTCTGTGTTTGTCTGTTTATTTTGATAAAATGGGTCATAACTTGCCCCGCTGGTGTGGCCAAGTGGTTTAGTGTCAACCTATGAACCAGAAGGTCATGCATGGTTGAATCCCAATCTGGGCACATGACCAGGGTTCAGCCTTGATCCCCAGTAGGGGGCGTGCAGGAGGCAGCTGGTTAATGATTCTGTCATTGATGTTTCTATTGCTCTCTCCCTCTCCCTTCCTCTCTGAAATGAATAAAATTATATTTAAATAAATGGGTCATAACTTTGTATTTAAATCTCTTTTAAGGGCTGTAGTAGTGAAAATTTTTTATACACACTTACATATGTGAACTGACTGTTTTGTCATACTATATTACAAAGGATCAAAAAAAGTTGGAAGGAGACTGTGCCATTATTTCAGATACATAATTGAAAGAATTATGGTTGGTTGAAAAATGACATTCTGGGGATTATTTGCATATATGCATTTCAACATATTTTCTGAATAAAATGAAGAATATCTGGTCCTTTTGTCTATTTCAGAAATGCTCCTTAATTTCTTCTCTTACTCTTTTAGCAAAACCTGCTCTTTTAGGTGTCTTATCTTTTAAAAATATATATTTTTTAATTGATTTCTGAGAGAGGAAGGGAGAGGGAGAGATAGAAACATCAATGATGAGAGAGATTCATTGGTCGGCTGCTTCCTGACCAACCAACCCCAACTGGGGATCAAACCCACAACTCAGGCATGTGTCCTGACCAGGAATTGAACCGTGACATCCTGGTTCATAGATGGATGCTCAACCACTGAGCCACGCTGGCCGGGGTAGGTGTCTATCTTTAAGCGTCTTTGATGAACCCCAAACCAAAATCCTTTCACCATTTCTAAGTCCATTTTTATTAGTACATCCACTGATTAGGCAAAGTTAGGCAGCACAGCAGCCTCAGGGAAGAGAGCATGGGTCTAGAATCAGATCGCCAGGGGTCAGAACACGGCTCTGCCACTTCGGGTTATGGCAATCTACTTAATCTGTCTTGCACCTCTGTTTCTACCTGGTTAAAATGGGCATTATAATAGTATTTCTCTCAGAGTCATAGTAAATGAAATGCAGCATCTTAAGTTGCAAACAGAACTACATAAACTAGGGGTGTCGAACTCAATCAGAGAAGGGGCCAAAATCTAAAATCCAGCCTAAATCGCGGGCTGAATGGTTTACTGAACAGTCATAAACTGTCATTGTGATGGAAACGCAGCGGAGTGCAGTGATGATAGCGCGGTGTGGGCCACATTGCAAGGCCTGGCGGGACGGATTTGGCCCGCGGGCCTTGTGTTTGACACATGTGACATAAACATTAGTCATAATTAATGTCATTGTATTGTCATCTTCATAACTGTCCTTCCTGATGCTAGGTGTAGGGAACTCAAAGCATAGAACCTTGTCATTTGAAAGAGACAGGCAGATAAACAAGTAAATATAGAACGGGGTCCCCATTTAAACGAAGAAATGACCAGATGGCTTAGGGTCTGAAGGAGATGTAAAGGCCCCATGATTCCCTTAACACCACACCACTCTGGATGGCTCTGACAAGGGACCAAGAATACAGATGCCTAAAAAGAACCGCACTTGCACGAGGCATCAGAATTCCCGTCTCCTGGATCCTGAAAACACCAGTCTAACCGCCACAGCCTCTCCCGCAGACCACAGAGGCAGAAGGCCGCTGTGGAGATGTTTCAGCGCCAGCTGGTTCCCAAGGTGTCGCTGACATCTGCATACAAGCTCTCAAGTTAAGGTACCTGAGGCTGCATCAGAGCCAAGCGGAAAAGGAAAAGGATTCCAGATGCTTTCCACCAGGTGCTGAGCAATGAATGAATGCGCTTGCTCCACCTGGCGAGGGGCACCCATCGAACGAGGCATCTGTTTCCAGCCCGGCCCAGGGCCGGGCCCTGGGGCGCTACCATCTTCTCGCCCTCATTTCTGGTGTCTCTGGGAGAAAGGACATCCATCTTCTGGAAGGAGCGCCTTGTGTACAAGCAGAGCCGGGGAATTCTTGCCAAGAGGGCCTTTGTGCTCTGCTCTCACATTTTTGGCATTTTTTTTTAACCCTCCAAACCAAGGTGACTCACTCTATTGTTCTAGGTCTGCACTGGGAAGCCTTTGGGGAGGGTGGTGTTTCAGGCATTCCAAAGCCAAGGAGAAATTATTGCTCCCCACTGGCCACAACACACTCTTCTTTTACTAATCAATTTTTTTTTAACTCTCAGAATAAGTTAAACTTTAATGGAACAGAAAAAAAAAATGATCTTCACACATATTATACCAAGAAATTCAGTGTTTAAAAAAAAAATCAATTTTTGGGGAGATAGTATTTATTTCTGAGAAACTCAAAATCGCCCTTAGTGTCATGTATCTTCCCAACGTCACAGGGAAGGTGGGCTTCCAGCTTCCCATCTCCAGGCCCCTCCAACTGCCAACAAACAGATGTTCCTCGCTGAGGGAGAATCTAATCATGGTGTCTGTCCTGATGTGCAAGGCTGAGCGGGACAGATGGCTGACAGTGGGGCCCGCAGCTGGGGAGGGAGGGCTGACTTTCGCCGGCAGCCAAAAGAGGAGAGAGGATGACCCCTCCCGTCAGGGCAGCCACAGGAAAAGAAAAGAACTCCTAGGCCTGAGTTCACAGAAATAAGAGAAGTGAGCCGTGTGTCCTTGACCCTAGTTATTTCTCACGAAGCTAGAAAGTACAAGAAATATTTTACCTGGGTTCTGAGTTGTGGGCTTGGCTAGGGAAAAAAACAACTATTAATTAAAACTATTTCTTGCTCTGGCAGATTTGGTTTAGTGGTTAAAACATTGACCCGTGGACTGAAGGGTTCCGGGTTCGAATCAGTCAAGGGCACATAATTCGATTGCAAGCTTCGTCTCCTCGGCACCAACTGATGTGTCTCTCTAACACCAATGTTTTTCTCTCTCTGTCTTCCCCCCCACCCCCCCACTTTCACTCTCTCTAAAAAATCAATGGGAAAAAAATATCCTTGGGTGAAATTAAAAAACAAAACAAAAACTATTTCCTAATGCAGCGTTTTTCAACCGCTGTTCCGCGGCACACTAGTGTGGAGCGAGATGTTGCCTGGTGTGCCGTAGGTGCAGACAAGACAAGAATTTTATAATTTTTCACTATTTTGTTTACTTAATATTTCATAATAAAGTAATTATAAAATACTTTCTTTGTGTTTATTTGATTCCTATTCAAGAGAATTACTTTATATATAGTCAATATAGGCACAGAGTTAAATTTTTTAACATTTTCTAATGGTGGTGTGCCTCGTGATTTTTTTCATGAAACAAGTGTGCCTTTGCCCAAAAAAGGTTGAAAAACACTGTTTCCTAATGCTTAGTAATTTCTGTAAGAATGAGTCAGCAGCTTTAGTATTGTATATTAAGTTGACATTTAATAAAAGGTATTTCTATTTCTTCCCACTGTAGTTAATTTCTAAGTTAGTGTAAATATATTTGCTTGTTTACCAAACCACATGCATATTGTTTTTCTTAGCCAACAGAATGACTACCATGAAAAGGAGTTGAGGATGAGAATGACAGAGTTGAATGCAGTTGAACCAGGTAATTGGTGGTCATTTCCAAAGGCTTGTAGCAAAGGCAAAGCTGTATTTTAATCCCAAGGGAGTCCCGCAGGATACTACTCACCATGTGTGCCTGAAACAACCCAGGGATGAGGGACTGGTTGGAGAGGTTGATGATCCTGGAGGACTCCTGGAGGACGTAGATCTTGCCAAAATCCACCTGGTCGGGATAGACGTAGATAACCGGGCCTTCTCCGATGCTCCTTAACTCGCACGTCTGCGTTCCCAGAGAGAGAACAGCTGAAAACGGCTGGCCTTGAAATTCGATTGAAACAGAAATTTCTAGCCACCTCTTCTGTAAAAAGCAGGGGCACCAAAGGGTGCTCAGGAGGACCTCCTTCCTTCCCCCTGGTACTCTTGGACAGAGGGACACAGGGATGGCCATGTGGGTCAGACCTTTGAATTCAGTCTGAAATCCCTCCAGGATGGCCTGCTTTCCTGGGTCAGCCTGAAGCTGTGCACCAAGGGGAAACCAGATAACAGTCCTCTATATGCCACCCAGTATTCAGCTTCAAAAACATTCAGCGTGGGGCTGAGGACTAGCACTTAACAATAGGAAGTGGCCTGGCCGGCGTGGCCCAGTGGTTGAACATCAACTTATGAATCAGGAGGCTACGGTTTTCCATTCTGCGTCAGAGCACAAGCCCGGGTTGAGGGCTTGATCCCCAGTGTGGGGCATGCAGGAGGCAGCCGAGCAATGATTCTCTCTCGTCATGGGTGTTTCCATCCCTCTCTCCCTCTCCCTTCCTCTCTGAAATCTATAAAAATATATTTAAAAAAAAAAAAAAAGAAAAAATTAGAAGTGGCTGAACTGAGCCGCGTTCTGCTGCTTGTCCAGTGGCTGTCTGCCGCGCATAGGGGCTGAGATCCACCTCGCTCCACGCCCCTCCCCCTGTGTCCTCAGCCTGTGTCCTCCTTTTTCTTTCATAAGATGCAGCTCCTCACATGAGCTGCGTTTTCAATATTAAAAAAAAAAATTTTTTTTTTTTTTTTTAAAGAGAATCACTCATTTTAAAAATACATGTATAGGTGTGCTCTCCTGGCAGAGATTCCGACTGGATCGGTCTGATGAGAGAGGGTCAGGCATGTCTCTCTATGAAAAACTCCTGAACGGAGTGTAAGAACAAGTGCTACAATCACCACTCCTTTTGCAGTTACCCGCAAATAGATTCCCAAAGTGCCGTATGGCTAGTTGTTTTTTTGTTTTGTTTTGTTTACTGTGGAGTGAAAATGTAGAATTTTAGAACGACAAACAATGGGAGGATATGCAGATACGGCATGCGCCTTAAAAGCGGAGGCTTGGAGGTTTGGCAAGAAGCACAGCGACTGTAACTGCAATCTGAACGCTGTCTCTCACCACAGGGCGGTCCTGGCTCCCGAAGACCGAGACGTAGACGGTGGACCGGTGCTCCCCGGTGACCTGGGCCTCCAGGACCAGGGGGATGTGGACGGTGCTTTGGGGAGGGATGATTCCGAAGGGGCGGGGACTGGAGAGCAGCACCGCGGGCGAGTCCTCGTCCACCTGGTGGGAGAGACAAGCCAGAGAGATGACGAGCCCTCAGCAGGACATTAGATTAGTTTGAAACAAGTGTTGTCTGGCGTCCATGGAGGTTCTTTAGAAATGCCACATTGTTCAAGCGAGTGTGTAGGGACGAGCACCCCGATTTTGCCCGGAGGGAGTTTGGTGGAGTGTACATAAGGCCCTAAGTTCAAAGTGCGCAGGAGGCGGAGATTGTCCACAACGTGAATCAGCTCAGGACAGCAGCTGCCCCCGGCCACCTTCCCCACCGGGGGCCCCCCGGCCCCCACACCTTACTCCCTCCCCCTTGTCCCTCTGTGTCCCACCGAGAGGGGCCACTGGTACTTCCCGGACACACGGTGCTCCCCGACCTCCAGCTCTTCGCACGCGTTTCCTCTTCCTGGAATGCCCGGTCCCTTCGGCCTGCCTGCACCCTCACCCTCAATCCCCCTGCAGGGATCCCTAGTGCCCTGCAGTCCTTTTCCACAGCCCACACTGTCGACGTGTCCGGCGTCACCATGGGCTGGGCACTTCTTAGGGCACAACCTGAGCCTCTTCTCCGTGCCCGCTTTCTGGCCCCAAACATATGCTCAGGACATGTTTTGGGTGTTGTTTTTTTTTTAATATATATTCTTTTTTTTAAATTCTTTTTTTATTAATTTTACACAGAGAGGAATTGAGAGGGATAGAGAGTTAGAAACGTCGATGAGAGAGAAACATCGACCAGCTGCCTCTTGCACACCCCCAACTGGGGATGTGCCCGCAACCAAGGTACATGCCCTCGACCGGAATCGAACCCAGGACCTTTCAGTCCGCAGTCCGATGCTCTATCCACTGAGCCAAACCGGTTTTCAGCAGGACATGTTTTTTTTTTTTTTAATGGGGAAATAGATGGGCAAATGAATGGGTGTTGTCCAGTGTCTACAAAATGAACTCTGCCCAGCCTGTCACTAGCTCTTGTACATTGACAACCACCACTAAGAAAACCTTAAAAACCGCATGGCCAGGTAAGTTTAGGGAATCTGGGAAGCGCTCCTCCGAAGCGCAGCTCCTGGAGAGGAGGACAGAGCCTGCGGCTTTACCTGTCCGGAGCGCCCCGCGGTCCCTCCTGCCCAGGCTGGTTTCAAGTGGCCTGACCTAGCTGCACGTCCCTCTGCAGCTACGTGTGGTCCGGCTGCGTTGGAGTTCGAGGCCCCAGGAAAACTGTCATACGGATTCTGTCTTTATATAAACTCTTTATGTTTTGTTCCTCGTGGACTTTTCATTAATATTGATTTCACAAGATGTGGCGTGAAAACGTTAATCTTGATTATTTTGAACTTTTTGGCTCCACCTTAAATGTTGTACTTGAGGCAAGTGCCTCGCCCTTTCCCCAGCCCAGCTGTGCAGGAATACCTTCCCAGTCACCCGGACTGGACGCATGCTCTGCTCAGAGTGCTTGAGGTGACCTGCACGGCTTAGGGCTGGGCTGGCCTGCTGTGCTGTGAAAGCAGCTGACAGTTGGAGAAGTTGTCCCCTGAGGCCGCCCCCACCCTCCCTTGCCGTCTGGTTTTGTCTCAGAGGAGCCCGCAGAATAACTGCAATCCCCTCTTTTACATACCAGCCCTTCGACTAAAGAAGGGGAGCCATTTTGGTGGGTTAAGTCTTGTCTGTTCCAGATTAAATACTACTACCCCGTTTTCCCGAAAATAAGACAGTGTCTTATATTAACTTTTTCTCCCAAAGTTGCGCTAGGTCTTATTTTCAGGGGATGTCTTATCTTTCCATGCTAGGTCTTATTTTCAGAGGATGTCTTATTTTTTTCGGGGAAACACGGTACGTATGCTCCTCATATGACTTGGATTTTCAGATCACTTAAATTACCTGGAACACGATTCATTCCCAAGCCCCAGGTTTCTATTACAAAAATACAATGTCAAGGTCTGAAGACAAATTTCTGCGTTGATGGCGGCCACCTCCTTTCTCAGGCTAAACACGTTTTTCTGATGGGCCTAAACCTGTCTTGGTTCTGTGGTCCCCACACTGGCTTTTTAACTCATTTTGAACTCATAGCCAAATAAAATCCACATTTGATTTTGTTTGCATGAATTTTTTTTCAGGGTACTGACCTTACAGAACTGAGTTTAAACCCAATGCACTCTGGGTAAACTGCATCTCATTAGGAACCTTCTCCATTCCTCTGGGCTGCCCAGATCTTCTAAAACCTCTAATCCATATGCATTTGACTGCTTAGTCTCCCACCTGGCCAGGTGTAGTGGCATGTGGACAATCTCTTTCATAAAACATGAAGAGGCACTTTCTCCTTTTTCACTCCTGAATCTCTCTAGCCTTCTAGTCCAGCATATCAATATTGCATTACCTTATCTTGGTGAAGCGGTTCACATCACGGCCATGGACAAAAATGAAAACTCCCAGCTCTGCCCCGTTCCCCATGCACGGTTAATTCCCAGGCAATTATCTGCAGGTGCAACTTCTGCGTGTTGGCTTAATTGCCGCTTTCTTTATCAGAGGCAATTTTCCTAGGAAATTAGCAACTGCTTACACCCGCAGCTGCTCACGCATGCAGGTGGCGATCCAGATGTGGCTTTTTAACCCCATCCCCAGATTATCCAGGGGTTTAAAAGTCAGAATCGCACAAGGCCGTGTGTTTAGGAAGATGGCTCCTAAGAAGGATATCTCTTTCTCGTTGAGGGAATCCAACTGCTGAAACATCAACACCGAAAAGAGGATCAGGTAACTTACCTGGGGCAGGACCTCGTAGCATCCCGGGAGGTCATCGGGATTGACGAGCTGGATGGTCTTCTCGTACGGGTACCTCAGGAAGCAGCGCCCGAAGTCCACCTCTGTGTTAGCCATGCGGAGGGCAGGCACAATGCACCTGCTCAAAGGAAGGAGCCCATTAAAGAATTTAAAAGCGTAGAAAGCTTGTTTACGTAGGGAGAACCAAGAGTCCCAAGCTAAACCCATTTGTTACTGTCACGTCGTATTTTTCTCTAATAACTACATTAATCACTTTCAAATCTTCGCTCCTTGCCTTCTCTCTCCCTTATCCCCCAGTCATCATCATTTTTTTTTTTTTTAATCAAAAAAGGGCTGGAAGCAGGACTCCTTAAACAGCTGTCGTCTGTGGGTAACGACTAACATTCCCATTGTTTTTCAAACTTAGCCTTCCTTTGGCAAGGGACCCCCATTGGACAGGTTAGCAAACCCGTTCCCCTGGCAAACAGGGGCAATGCCACCAGCATGGGGTTCTAACTAGCTGTGCCACTTTGGACCAGCCAGAGTCCCCCCCCGCGGGCTGGTAACAGCTCACACCAGCTAAATAATGGTAATAATTCTGATTCCTATGCAAACAGCTGTCTTGGATCAGCAGGCTCAGGCAGCTGCTCGACCCAGAGCTGGCGCACTGACAACAGGGGCTGGGGTGGAGGAGAGGGAGGGAGGAGGGGAGGGAGGGAGGGGTGTGTGCTGGAGAGGGAGGAATGGAAGCCCTGTGTGTGTAGCTGGTCTATCATTAGGTGACTTGGGTTTTATTTGTGTCTGTGAATCTCAGCCTCTGCCCTGCCCGGCTGCACTGTCACAATATAGCACAATGGTGAGGAGCGCTGGCCCACAGAGCCAGGTTCAAGCACAACCTTGAGCAAGTTGTGCGCCTCCTCCCCCGCCCGGAGCCCCATGTTGCTTATAAATAAAATGCAGGTGATTCCAGGGGTTGACAGTAGCATCATTAACTCTTCTTAGGGAGCCGTGGGAAATGCAGGGGCTGATGTGAATGAAGGGCCATGGAAGGGCTCGGTAAGAGGCGACTGATGTGCGGGAGGGGGCACGACAAGCCATCACTGCTGGCTCTCTGGGAAAATCACTGTAGAGAGCAAGTTAGAAAAGCAATTCTCTGTTGAGAGTCTTTGAGCAGTTTCCACAGATTACAGGGAAGTGCTGTAATGACAGGAAAGGGAGGCCTGTTAACCCCAAAGCTTGAGATGATTCCACAAGGGATGAGTGTTCGTGTTTAGCTAAAATGGAAGTTGTCAGCTGACCCAATGGCTTTCAAAAGCTAATCCTGTACTAATACCTGGAATGCTGTGGCTGAGAGGGTTTATAGTACTTGACGTGGTAGAAACTCATAGCCTCTTAGGACCTTATTTTTATTTATTTTATTTTATTTTAAAATATATTTTATTGATTTTGTACAGAGAAGAAGGGAGAAAGATAGAGAGTTAGAAACATCGATGAGAGATAGACATCGATCAGCTGCCTCTTGCACACCCCCTACTGGGGATATGCCTGCAACCAAGGTACATGCTCTTGACCGGAATCGAACCCAGGACCTTTCAGTCCCCAAGCCAACGCTCTATTTATTGAGCCAAACCAGTCTTGGCAGGACCTTTTTAAAAAGAAAAATAGTTTTTTTATAGGAAGGGAGAGGGAGAGAGAGAGAGGAACATCAGTGATGAGGAAGAACCATTGATCAGCTGCCTGTTACTAGTATATGCCTCCCACTGGGGATTGAGCCCACAATCGGGGCATATGCCCTGACTGGAATCAAAGCACGGCCTCATGGTTTATAGGTCCACACTTAACCACTGCCACACCGGCCAGGCAGGCCTTCTTTCTTTCTTTCTTTCTTTTTTTTTTTTTTTTAATCGTATTTCCTATTGATAGCTGTAGGGGAAAGAGGCTGGAAAGTATCAGAATAAACTCACATAGAAAAATGCAAGACTAGACAAAAAGGCCGACGTGGATACAGACAGGCCCAGATGAAACAAAGGAATGAACCACTTCGGTGTTGGGAAGGAGTACTGAGTAAGCAGATCGAGACAAGTTCCTGTAGGGCTGCTCTTTGACTTCCTCCAAGCCCCAGGCCCACACAAAGCGGCCCCTTACGATGCCTCTATCAACAAGTAGGTCTGCACCTTCTTCAAGTTGCATTTTCTTAAGATTCATGTATTGCCAGGAATGTTCTATTTCCTTTAGATGGCATTTTCCTGTGTACACTCTCAAGTCCAAGATCTGGACCCTCGTTTGCTTTGGCAACAGTGCGGCCGATGATTGTATTCAGGGTCACTGTCACCATCAGTGGGAAGACAGTAACTTGGTCAAGTAGACAGAGTCACCAAAGCAAGCCAGGATCCTAACCTGACTCCAGAGCCCATTGCTGGCTCCGTTAAAAAAGAGAGAAGCTGTCCACCTGATGTGGTTCAGTGGTTGAGTGTTGACCTATGAACCAGGAAGTCATGGTTTGACCCCTTGTCAGGGCACATGCCCGGGTTATGCGCTCCATCCCCAGGAGGAGGTGTGCAGGAGGCAGTCGACCAATGATTCTTATCATTGATGTTTTTTTTATCTCTCTCTCCCCCTCTCTGAAAGCAATAAAAATATATATTTTTTTAAAGTAGAGAAGTTGGTGATGGTTCTGAGGAGTTTATAGTTAGAAAGGGCCTTGTTTGGGTGCCCAATTGCAGCCCAGAGCCGGACTGTCTTGCTAAATGGATCATCCACTGCAGAATTGTGGGCACCACTCTTTCTGCTGCAGACCTTCCGGCTCATCCTTATTTAATGATAAACATAAGAAACAGCAACTGTTCACATCTTTCTGCTAAAATCCTTTTTAGCTATATACCTGGAAAGTCAGAAACTTAAAACCAGAGAGCACCAGTATTCTTCAAACACACACACACACACACACACACACACACACACACACACACACCTTCTCTCATCTCCACGGAAGGTGAAGGTGCGTCTGCAGTTTGAAAGCTCTGTCATTCCAATCGCACTCAGCCTCCCTTCGGGGAAAGCAGAACAAACGCAGTGTGGGCCTTTGACAGGCCTGCCGCCTTCTGGAGAGGCAGCCCTTCCCGGGGCCCAGGGAGACGGGGACAAGGGGGGCGGGTGAGCAATACCTTGCTGTAATGAGGAGCGCCAGCACTTCTTCGCCGATGCCCTCCACGTCCACCACCAGGGCCAGCTCGTATTTCTGCACGGTGTTGGAGCACAAGGTCACCTGGAAAGCAAAAGGGGAAAAGCTGCTCTTCCAAGAGCCCAGCTCTCCCGCTGCAGAGGGGCGAGGGGAGCCTGGGGACACGGAGGAGGGCGGACTCTCAGTGCTTGTCTGTGGGACGCATGGCATGTCACATGTTTCGTTGAGCCAGCTGCGTCTCGGGGCCAGGGCATGCTGAGCTTTTTCAAAGGCCAGGCCAGAAGCCCAGCGGCTGTTAGTACAACAGGCCGGCTCATTTCTGAGGAGACTGTTATCAAAGAAGCCGTGCACCTACACAAGGTGGGAAGTGACCATGAAGGATGAGCCACATCAAACAAATGCTAATTATTGCAATGTAAGTCGTTCCCCATACCTCTGGGCTGTGTTAATGATGAAAATTTAGGACACCAAGAAAGCACTCCAGCTAAATGTCTCTTTTAGCAAAATACATGACATACCATGTCTGAGGCAGAGAATGGCATGAAACGTCAGCTAGTTCTGTGTTGTGCGTGTTTTTTCTTTTTTTTTTTCTTTTTCCCTTGTCCCCTGCCCCCATAGTCATTATTAAAGCAGAAAATAGAGGTGCCAAAGAAAGGTCTGCCTAAGGACAATATCTGGCAAGTAGTATTTTTTTTATCCCGTGTTTTATTTACTGTTGTGAAATGTTACATTTAGGCTTTTGAAGCCTTGTTATGATTATAATTGCTTTACAATGATTTGTACTGGAAGGGATGCGTGCAAGTCTAGAAAACAGCTTCTGGCACAGGTTAAGGTTTTTCTAGCTATACATTATGTATCAGGTACTAATTAAAAAATTTTTAGTTGCAGAGGGAATTACTGGATGCAAATTTGAGTCCACAGAAGACATGGTTGGAGTACAGATGATGAGGGAAAAATTGAAGCTTGGAGAAAGGTTTTTCCAAATAGAAAGGAAAAATGAAGTGAAGATGGGGTCAATTATTTGGAAAGAAGATGTGTCAGATTTGGAGAGAGGCAGCTGCCCCTGTGTTCAGAGATTCCTGGAGTGATCTGCCCTTTTTATGTCTCTGAGCTGTGGTCAGAAGGCAGAAAAACACGTGGTTCTGGCAGAAGGCTGCTAGATAGATCTACATCTTCTCAAATCTTCCTGTACTATGTGAAAGAGGCAAAAAAAAGAAAAAGAAAAGAAAAAGAAAAAGGGGAGGTAGCTAACAGGTAGTCTGAGCATTAAGAAATAAAAAAATTAAATACATTCATTGCAACAGCATTTCTCTCTGGGAAATTCACAGTTAGCAACTATGACCTGTGAGTGGTTGTGTCCTCCCCAAATTTCTATGATGAAATCTTAGCCCCTAACGTAATAGTATTGGGAGGTGGGGCCACTGGGAGGTGAATAAGTCAAAAGATGGGGCCTTCATGAACAGGATTAGTGCCCTTATAAAAGAGGGCCATCCACCACGTGAGGATGGAAGAAGTCAGCAGCCTGCAAGCTGGAAGAATGCAGAACCCAAGCCTGCTGGCTCCCTGATTTCAACATCCTGCCTTCAGACTTATGAGAAATAAATCTCTGTTGTTTATAAGCAACCCGGTCTCAGGTATTTTATAAGAGCAGCCCAAATAGACTGAGATAGTAATCCTGAGAGGTTATAACGATATATGAAATAAAATCTCATTGGACCAGTGGAGAAGCCTTTAAAAGAGCTAAAAAAAAAAAAAAAAAAAAAAAAAAAAAAAAAAAAAAAAAAAAAAAATACACATAACTCCCAGAAAAGTGTTAGGATGAATAGATTCATGGTGAGATATTAAGAAAGCATTTAAAACAATTTTGAGGGGATAAAACCGTAGCTGAATTAAATATTCACAGATAGTGACTAAAGAGGAAATTAACCTTAGCTATAAAGTCTTATCTTTTTTCTTTTCCAGAAAAGATAAAATCATTCCAATTTTGCAGCATTCAATATTGCTAGATCTGACTGTTTGAGGAGGAAAAAGTCAGTGAGAGAAGACAGGAAAACGTTCTCAGTTAGCCATGAAATAATTCTGCTGGTGGCACTGACAGCCCAATAGCAAGCCCAGGTTCAGACTAAAAATCTGAATCCTTGGGATGTCATCTGTGTCATAAATGTGGGCATTTGTTGGTATAAACGATTGGAGTCTAAAGGAAAGGAGGACCTAATTATCACCGAGTCCTTACATCTCTCTGTATCTGTGCTGATGGGTGCGCTATCTGTGCAGAGCTGTGGTTTCACTAGAAATCCCTACAACCTGCTGATCTGGTGGAGGCAGCCCATCGAGGCTGGCGGGAACCCACGGGAGGGGTGCCAGTTCTTTTGCCCAGTGTGTTTGCGCCTGGTTCCTTTCACCACAGCGGCTTGTTTCCTGATAGGCCCACGTTTCCATGTGAACCGGAGGCACTCCTTCCCACGGACTCTGGGCATGGAGGGGAAACCCTGGCTGTGGTCCCACGGCCATTGGAGAGTTCAGCTGCCTGGGGGGTGGGCGCTTTACCCTGATAGCAGCGAATCCCTGGGAGCGAATGGTGCCGCTGTTAGGAGTGATGGTGAATTCTTTTGGTTTCGTTATGGGTACTTCCTCCTTGTTCCAAGAGGGTCCTTTGGTGTCTGAATACTGCTCACAGCTTGAAGTGCTCTCATGGCCGTCCCCAGGGATACGCAGTTTGAAGGTCATGGGGACCAGGGAGGTGTTATTGAGGGAACATATCAAGGTATGAGGAAACCCTGGAAAACAAAATATGAGGTGAGAAAAGCCCTGCAACAGCCTCCCTTTAACTCCAACCTCCTCAGCTGCCCAACCCCTCAAATAAATGGTCTACGGCACGCAATTCAGCGCTACTTGCTTAATTCTAACTCTCCCCCATGTTGTTTTCAATTGTAAACCAACACATACATTTCATTCATTTACTCACTCATTCATTTAATCATTCAATGAATACTCACTCATTTACTACGCAGCAACAATAGACATAAAATCACCATTCCCTGTCCTCCCCCAGAGCTGGCCTCTGTTATCAGTTTGCTGCTGAGTAGTCTTCTATTGTAGAAGGATATTTTGCATTTAACTTTTGCATAGAAATACAGATTTCTCCCAAACAGAATCATGTTCGCTCTTTTTATTTGTCTATGTGTGAAAGGAGAAGCCTGTGCGGTTTTGCCCGCATGTGATCCTGAGCCTGCCAAGACATTATATAACTTACCCTTACCCTGGACCTGTCTGAGGCTCATGCCCCTTGGGGTCGACGACACAAAAACTGAGGAACAGCCTCTACCAGCAGGGACTTTGCGATCTGCTTCTGAGCCAGACAGAGACCAGCGCATTGGCTTTTCGCTCCCTGAGACCAAGCTGCTTTTTCGTGCTATAGCTATAGCCCTCCTATATCCGGTTCAGTGCGAGTCACGTCCCCTTCCAGAGAGATGGGGGTCCTCCTGGGTGCCCACTGTACCTGCCACCACTTTCAGAACAAGAATGATCTGTGACCACAGGAGAACAAATATGCATGCAAGCACTACTCTTTCTACTTTGGACCCTACGGCAGTATTCTACAGCTGGCCTGGGAGTCACCGCTGCAGTACTGATCCACTTCTGTCCCCTTGTCTGAGCCTTGTCTACGCAGTTGGGCTGTGGGAGAAACACGCTCATGTCCCCTCTGTGATACCACCCCTGCCAATCAACTTGGAAGAAATCTTTAATGAAAAAAGAAGTGTCTAATTAAGTGCACCTGAAGGATTTTTATTGGAAATTCCAGAGGAACTGCTAGAAAGTCAGTTTCACAACTATATAATTGCTACATTGGACTTACACTCTGATTTGACCCGACCATTTGTGGGACAAACACTCGTCTAATGTAGGGTGTGCGTATTATGGAAGTGGATCCTATAAAGACTCAGATGGGTTCTTCCAAACCATTGCTCAGACTACTTCCTGAAGCTATTAGTTTTTCTCAGAATAAAGGCAATTATAACCTCCTCCCTAGAGCAATCCCTTGTGCCATTACCTGTAAAATTGCTTGTCAAAAAACCTAAGGGACAGGGATATTGTTGAAGACTGGGATTCTGGTGGCACTAAATCCTGACATTGTCCTAGCTACAGTCTCATCGGAATGCCAGTACTTTACAGTGCAGACCTCTGGTCTCCCTTCCTTGATATCTATAAGGTAAGATATCATCAAAGTATATAAAAACCCAAATCCTTCTTGGAGTAATTAACAACATGCTCGGTCAGAACGCCTTAAAGACTCACAGTGGCACCTTCATTCCTCTCCTAGCACTTAAATTTGATTTAAAAGACAATATTCTCAGGAGATTTGATTTTCATTTAATGTGCATATTGTCACCTGACTTAGGAAGCCTCTAAGAAGACTTATGGAAATCAGGAGCTAAATATTGTAAGGCAGAAAAGTTTCAATTCTGACAAAAGATGCTATATTACTTAGAACATGATTGTTCTACTAAAGAATAGACCTAAGTAAGGAGAGTGTGAAATTGTTCAGCAATACCCAGGACCAAAAATTCAACTATAATTTATGGATTTTGGGGGACACGTGGGATCTTGTAGACAATAGATCCCTAATTTTTCTAGTGAAATAAAAATCTTCACCAAGTGAAGGGAAATGTGTTGGCAGATCATTCTGCAAAACAGGTGGTACTTTTGTAGTTGTCTGTAGAAATAAAGTAGAAAATGGGAGATCAATAAACATCAGCACAACCCATTTTGGACATAAAAAAAAAATGAGCCTCAAACTTAGAAACACCAACATTTTCTAAAATCAGCATCCTCTGTCCACTTCAGTGGTCTTCAGCACAGCAACTGTGATGTGCCCCAAAGCCTTTGACAAAAACCACAGATCCCATCACAGAGGAGACAAGGTCACCTCTGAACAAGATCTGATGAGAAAAATTTTCCTCGGTAGCTGGATATCACATTCCGGAAAAACTGTGCAGTGAGACATGGGCTTAAATCACACTCCAGTTAACTTTTCAAATAAAAGATGATAAATTTAAGAATGTGTCCCTATAATTGTCTGTAAATTCTTTAGATGGATTTGAGCCTCCCTATATAGAAAGGCTGCTGCCATAAATGTGACTAAGAAAGTACACACTGTAACTTCCCTCCCTTGGGGAACAGCAGCCTCACAAAGAAGTTATAAAGAATCTTACAGTGCGTTAACGATTTGATGTAAAATTTCATGGTCCACAATTCTTGGGAAATCTACAGCATAAAAACAGGATTATATTTCTTGAATTGGCCAAGCTCTCTGAAGCTCTTGGAATTCTTTGGGGGAAGAGTTTTACCTTTAATTCTAATGTCCATCAGATCAGGTTAATTTCCAATGGAACTCGTAGACTATTAAACTAGAAAATCCAGGAAATTGCAAGTCTTTTATTAGTCTGAATCAAGCTTGCTTTATGCACACATAACTAAATATTGTCAAGAACAATCTCATCTAGAAGCCACCACTAAAAATTCACCCTCAGGTCTTCTCTCTGAAAAAATATACCAACAGTCTTCTTTAGGGACTTCGCTGACCCTGGGGTTACCTATAAGGTAGACTTTTGGGTAAAAAGATGCCCAAAGAAACTGAATTATTGGCAGAAGCCATGGAGAAAACACTTTTACTGGAGATTTTAAATGGTAGCTTGCTAATAAAACTTCCAGAAATGGTTGACCTACAGAAATAGATTGCCATTCCCAGCTCCTCAAAACAAGCAATGTTTACATGATGTAGAAATATTCTGCCTAAGACTTAGTGGAACTTGCTAGATGCTTTCCTTTGCCTACTTTGTTCTTTATCATCTGGCCATATTATTCTCTATTTACTATCTTAAAGTTATATGATTCTGATATCCCTTGGTATGTCTCTCTTACTGTTAATGGTAACTGGCTTGGGTGTGGCCTTTGCTTGTGCTTATTATGACCCTTGCTGCCAATCTTTCTAAGATCTTTTTATGATCATTACAAGTGAGTGCTGCCCTTGACTCCCTACTCTACACCCTCAGAAAGTCAATTTAAATAACTGAGTAAAATACTGATAGTACCTGGGTCATGGAAGAGGCAACTATCATGAATTTTTAAAAATGTTTATATTTATTCCAAAAACTCTGCCCTCAACCCCTAACTTCTTAGACCAAATTATCCAATTGTCAAGTATACTGAATGCCTGGAGCCTTCCATACTCCTTGTTCTCAATCCAGCACATTCTTGGTTCAATATTACAGGTAATAGTATAAGGAATTGCTCTAGGTAGGAAGTTATAATTGCATTTATCCTGAAAAAAATAGTGGCTTAACAGATACCCACCCTGCCCCTTTTGGTTGATCACCTGGAATGCAGTGGTTACTTGGTCGCTTTTATTCTCTGACTATTCTGAGGATTTATTGAAGCTTCAGTGTTCCTTCAGGGACAATTGCCACCCAATTCTATCATCTGACACTCTCATGCTATTGTAGCTTCAGTCAGCCTAGTTAATTATTAGATACGTCATCCGACATCTAATCCTATCAAGATATTTATAACTATCTTCAAAACATTTTAGATACTAACCTACTTTAGATTATCCAAACTGTAATATATGGTAGCTTCTAACATCATCAATCCCAGTAGACCCTGATATTAAATCTACATTTTCACTTTTCACAATAACCTACAACAGACATATCTTCGGGAATGGAATGGGCCTTAGGGCCAATAAGGAGACAATATAACCAACTTTCATTAGCTTCATGCACTCCCAAGCCCTACAAAAGTCTCTGCAAACCTTGCTTAACTCCACATGATAAGTCTGTCACCCTGAAATAAATTAAAAAATTCCTCCAATTCCTGGCTTGCTGCTGTAACAGTTAATTTCGCTTTTGCATCTGGAACTGTATGTACCCTTGTTGGTCTTTTATTCTCGAGCCCATGACATGCTCACTTTTATCTGCCTCATCAAAGCCCTACTTGCACATGCAGGATAATAATGAAAAGCTCCCAGGAAATAACTGCCAATGGACCGTGTTTCTTTGTGACGGGAGGTCCCACTACCTGAAAAAATAATTAGACTTGGTGTTGAAGTCATGAGGATTCTAGTTCTAACTCTGGTATTTGAAAATGTCATAAAATAATTTTGAAAGGGTATCATAAAATTTTCTCTAATTTTGGCTGTTACAGTACAAATTCTAGAAGCACAGGAAAGTAGCTTGAATTAACTGACCCAAGTGGTTTCGAAAACCACGTAGCCCTAGATCGCCTGTTGGCAAGCAAAAAGGATGTTTTTGTTAACACTCCCTGCCACACCAGAGAAGACTAAGGAACCCATAACCGAAAGAAAAGAAAAGGCAACTTGGGTTTTGAAAGGAGACTCAGGAGTGACAAATTCTCAAATCTCAGACGCGGCAATCTTGGGTCATGGCTCAGTAGAGTGCTCCAGCATCTTATCTAGTGGCTGTCTCATCAACTGGTTCAATAAGATATTATAGAAGGAAAGAAAAATATGCTGCTTCTAATTTTTACCAAAACTTCTAGCTAGACCAAGTCTGGGAAACAGTGGTTGGCCCATCATTAGGACAGCATTTACATCAACACTGCAGAAGTGAGCACTAGAGCAGAGTCTGGACAATGAGTCGGTGTGAAATTTCCTGAACTAACTGATTTGAGGTGCTTGTTTGTACTCTGTTTTCTCCCTCCAGGGCAATCTGATACCGGGCACATCTCCCAAACGCCCTTGGGCTGGCCTTGGTCTTGAAATGCCTGTGGGAGAATATGCTGCTGTCATGCATCAGTTGCCCAGACCTCCCTGTGGGCTCCGTTTGAGCTGTTTAGAGGATGACTGCATAGGTCTTGGGACACTAATTCACTTCTTGTTGTGCAGCTGTCACAGTCACCCTTGAGAGAGAATGCCTTTCTCACTTGGCCACCAGATGATTTTCAAGTTGTAGTCATTTTTATTTCCTTCAAAAGAGTCTATCACTCAAACATGCCCTACAATTTTGTGAGATTCTCTCCAGCCATTTTCATTTTCTATAGTAACAAACAGATATTCAACTTCATGTTTATAGATTTACCTATGGTATGTAGTATCTTACCCAATATAATGCAGATGGGGAGCACTGTATAAATAAATATGTTCTGTGTTATACCCCCACATGGTAAAGTAATTGATAAAGACATCTAATCAGCTTTCTCTAAAGAACTATTTTCCCCCAAGTAGACGCAAGAGAACTGAACGTCAAAGTAGGAGATGATAGGAGAAAATGGAAAAGTTTGCGGAGCATGGATCTAGACCAGGCGTTTTCAACCTTTTTAACAATTATCATCTCCTAAAAAGAACCAATGTGATAAATTAGTTTCAAATCAAATAAATTATATTTCATTAATATGATTTAAATTCTATTTAATTTCTCCCTAATGAAAAAATTAAATAGAACTTAAATCATGTTAAATTCTTCCTAATGAAGAAATTAAAATACCAGGGGACAAGATTCTGTTGGGCAGAGTTGAACTCTGGAGGACCACAAACCATTGTTATATCTAAGTTTTGTTTCAACCCCCCAGAACCCATTTCTGCCTCTTCGGGTGCAGCAGTATTGCTTGCGCTGACAGTACGTGATTTAAATACACCTCAACTGAAATGCTAATTTCTGCTGTGTGAATTTAGGAAGTTATTTAACCAATCAGTGCTCAGTTCTTCCATCTCTAAAATGGGGATCTTAGATAGTACCTCCCCATAGGGCTGCTAAAAAGTTTAAATGTAGTGCTGCATGTAATGCGCTTAGCAGTGATTGGAATATATACAAAGAACCAATAAATAGGATTTTTTGCTGTTATCGTTTTTTTCTCATTTTTATTATTGGGGAAGCTTAGGTGGGAGAAAATGGCTTAGAGAAGTAACTGGATGAGAAGAACACAAAAGCACAGAAGAGTCTTCAATTTGCAGTGGTAAGACACCTGAATCGACCCACCACTGAGTTCACTTTGAACTTGACAGCATCTCTGGGGAAAGGTAAACTGCGTGGCCAGCCTGGCAGATCAAGTTCTGCACATAAACAGAATGTTTGTAATGTTCAGATGGTGGAGTGAAGCATAAGGCCTTCCACCGTTCCCTGCTGGAAGGGGGGGATGGCCATGGCCTGACAACTGTTAGTGCCCGGGACGCAGTTCCAACTTCCACATGGAAATGGGAAAAGGGCACTGAAATGCCACTTCTGCAGAAGAACAATTCTAGATCCTCTCAGCTTCTACCCATAAAAAATAAAAATAAAAATGGAAAGACTCTTTGCAAACATTTGTCCTCCCCTGTAGAGAAAAGTAATTTTTCTGTTTCTAATTTTGAGTGGAAAATACTCACCAAAGGAAACATCCCCAAAGTGCAGAGCAGGAACGTTGAAGTGGAAGGTGGGTCCGATGACACAGCCTCTGGAAGCAGGAGCACAAGGAGGAGAGTGGGGGAGAACCCAGTGAACACAGGGTAACAATCGGCAACTTCGAGAGGGTCCACTGAAAACCCCCATTGGGCATTAAATCAATGTTCGAATCCAGGGTTTAAGAAAACTCAGAGATGATGGTCTAACACGGTGGCTAACTCAGGCAAGAAAGGAAAAATATAGCTTTAATCATATGAGGACTATCGAAGACTATCAATACCACCAGTAGTCCTTGTCCCACAGTTTTATAAAATGGTTTGAGGCCATTCCCTCCCACTAACTGGCTGTGAGCTTGGCCAGTCACTACTTTTACAAGCTTTAGTTTCTTTTCCTCAGGCATAAAGGGGAGGACTGGATTGGTGACTTTTAAAGGACTCTTTACCCTGAATGTTGGTCTATTTCTCTCTCAGTGCAAGGCCTCATGACTAGCATTGCTCAGTGGTTGGGCGTCAAGCTATGAACCAGGAGGCCACGGTTCAATCCTGGTCAGGTCACATGCCCACGTTGTGTGCTCGATCCCCAGTGGGGGGCTTGCAGAAGGCAGCTGATCCATCTATGCAAATCTTTAGGTGTGGGGAAATGCCCTTAGCCATTTCCAACAGGCAATAACAGGTGATTCAGCCCTGCTGAATACCCAAGTTCATCAACCTTTTGATGAAACTTCTTGCATTTATGACATGCTGGAATTAGTTTCTGGCAATAATAAAGTAAAATGAAATAAATACAGGCATACCTCAGAGATATTGTGGGTTTGGTTCCAGACCACTATAATAAAGCAGGTATCACAATAAAGTGAGTTGTAATCTTTTTGCTGGTGTGTGTGTGTGGGGGGGAGGGTCTTGTTCTTGATTGATAAACAAACAAAAACCCACAACATCTATGAAGTGCAACAGAGCAAAGTGCAATAAAATGAGACATGTCTGTAATAGATTCTACAGCTTCTAGTGTGCCAGGCGCTTAATGTTATATTCACGCAGATACCAGCCAACACTTACACATAAATCTTATTCACCCAGCTTCAGACACTGGTGATGCAGGTGTGTCTCACCATGCTGAGCGCAGTGTGCCCTGGCAATACTGGCTGCTACAGAGCTGACCATAATGTGGTGAGAGGCTCCCAGTGTGGGAGGAGCCATGACAGCAAAGACTCAATGCTGGTTTCAAAGAGATGGCTGGTACTCAGCAAGGAATTGGGATCTAGCAGAGAAGGAAGTCAAACCAGCCTACGGATTAAATTCTTGACTTGTAAAAGAATTTTCTGTGAGGGGGGTAGGACCAGGGGAGACGGGAAAAAATAATAGATCAAAAATGTCTGAAAGGCACAAAAGGCTAAAGAAAGGAAGAAGGACGCTTACAAATTTGCACAAAGCAGTCATATAATCAGTGAAGTAGAAAGAACCAAAGTTAAATCACATCTGTTCGAAGGCACACACAACTAGGGAGCTGTGGCTGAATACCATCTGGACTTAGATATGGTCACATTCATTCTAACAGGGATTCTGAATATTATAGGACAGTTTCTGCCAAGATTGTGTCCTCCATCACTGCAGTGGCCTGGTAAAATTATAAAGACTACGAGTTAGGATGATTGAATTACTATGACATGTTAAGTGAAATATTTTGAAGACAAAATATATCTGTGCTATGGTTAAAACTTTATAAAATTACATATGCAAATATTTGAAGGAAGAAAACTGTGCTTGAGTAATTTTTTAAAATCACGTTGATTTTACAGTGTTGTTTATCCAACTACTTAAAAAAACTGTCTATGTAGTTGAAGAGTAAATAGAATAGCAAAAGCCCTTCATCTTTGTTCTTACTTTTTCAAATTGTTTTTAGCTATTCTGGGTCTCTTGTATTTCCGTATGAGTTAGGATCAGCTTGCCAATTATTGAAAAAAATTGGCAGGCAGCTGGGATATTGATAGGAATCATCTTGAATCTATGTATCATTTGGGAAGGTATTGCCAGTATTAAGTCTTCCAACCCATGAACATAGATGTCTTTTCATTTATTTAGGTCTTGTTTTGTAGTTTTCAATGTACAAATCTTGCACCTTTTTGTTAAATGTATTTCCCAATATATTATTGTTTTTGAACCTATTGTAAATGGAATTTTCTTAACTTAATTTCTGAATTTTCAATATTATTGCCTAAAAATACAATTTTTAAAAAATATATATATATTTCTATTGAGTTCAGAGAAGAAGGGAGAGGGAGAGAGGGAAATGTCAATGATGAGAATCACTGATTGGCTGCCTCCTGCACACAGCACGCTGGGGATCGAGCCCGCAACCCAGACACGTGCCCCCGACCAGAATCGAACCCGGGACCCTTCAGTCTTCAGGCTGATGCTCTATCCACTGAGCCAAACTAGGTAGGGCACAATTGATTTTTGTATGTTGATCCTATATCTTGCAATTTTTCTGAACTCACTTATTAGTTCTTTGAGTGTGTGTGTGTGTGTGTGTGTGTGTGTGTGTGTGTGTATTCCTTAAGATTCTTTATATACAACATCACATCATCTGCACACAGAGATAGTTGTACTTTTCCTTTCCAATCTGGATGCTTCTTATTTCTTTTTCTCAACTACTTGCCTTGGGACAGAACCTCCAATAAATGTCGAACAGCAGTGGCAATGCAGGCTTCCTTGTCTTGTTCCTGACCTTAGTGAGAAGCAGTCTGTCTTTCACCATTAAGCATAAAGTTAAATGTGAGTTTTTTATAGGTATTCTTTATCATGCTGAGGGAGTTCCTTGCGAATCCTAGTTTGTTGAGGTTTGTTGTTTTTGTTTATCTTTTTAAATCATAAAAGGTGCTTAGTTTTGGTGAGTGTTTTTTCTGTTTATTGAGATGATCATATGATTTTGGTCCTTTATTCTACTAATAAGTTATATAACAGTAATTTCCCTATGTTGAGCCAAACTTCAAACTTGCACTCCTGGGATAAATTCTACTTGGCCATTGTGTATAATACTTTCTATATGTTGCTGCTTTGATTTGGTTTGCTAGTGTTTTATCAGTAATTTTGTGTCTATATTTGTAAAAGTCTTCAGTTTCTTTTCTTGTGATGCTTCTCTCTGATTTGGGCATAGGGTAATACTGGCCTCTGAAAACGAATTGGAACATGTTCACACCTCTCCTATTTTGGAGGAAAGCAATATTTTGTGGAGAATTGATGTTAATTCTTCATTAAACACTCAGTAGAATTCTCCTGTGAAGCCATCTGTTCCTGGGTTGTTTGCTTGAGTGTGTGCGTGTGTGTGAGTGTGTGTGTGTGTGTGTGAGTGTGTGTGAGTGTGTTTGTGTGTGTGTATGTGTGTGTGTGTGAGAGTGTGTGTGTGTGTGTGTGTGAGAGTGTGTGTGCGTGTGAGTGTGTGTGTGTGTGTGAGTGTGTGTGTGAGTGTGTGTGAGTGTGTGTGTATGTGTGTGTGAGTGTGTGTGTGTGTGAGTGTGTGAGTGTATGTGTGAGTGTGTGTGTGTGTGTGTGTGTGAGTGTGTGAGTGTGTGTGTGAGTGTGTGTGTGTGTGTGTGTGTGTCAGGGTGAGGTGGGGGTGTTAGTGGTTCTATTTCAATCTCCCTAAACTATTATAAGTTTATTCATATTTTCTATTTATTTTTAATTAGATTTGATAGTTTGTGTCTTTCTAGAAACATGCCAATTTCATCCAGATTCTCTAATTTGTTGGCATACAACTGTTCATAAAATTCCCTAATAATTCTTTTCATTTCTGTAACGTTGGTAATAATGCCCCCTCTTTAATTTCTGATTTTAGTACTTTGAGGCTTTTCTTCATTTTTTTTCTTGGTCAGTTTCATTAAAATTTGTCAATTTGTTGATCTTTTCAAAGAACCAACTTTCACTTTCATTAGTTTTTCTCTATTGTTTTGCTCATTAATTTTCATTCTAATCTTGAGTATTTCCTTCCTTGTACTTGTTTTGAATTTATTATCCTCTTATTTTTCAAGCTTTTAACGCAGATATTTACATTATTGATTTGAAATATTTCTTTGTGTTGAATTACCTACTTCTCCCTTGACATCTGTCAGCTTATGCTTCATGTATTCTGGGCCTCTACTGTTAGGTGCACATATGTTTATAATTGTTATATCTTCTTGATGAATTGACTTTTATTATTGTAAAATGTCTTTTTTTTGTCTCAAGTAACAATTTTTATTTTAAAGTCTATTTGCCTGCTATTAATATAGCAATTTCAGGTGTGTTTATTTTTGTTTTATTTTGTTTGTTACTGTTTTTATCTCTATCTTTTTCCATCCTTATAGTTTTAATATATTAATTACTTTCAGCTCTAAAATATGTATCTTGTAGACTGCATACAGTTTGGTCATGTTTTGTGGGTGTGGTTTTTTTTATGTTGGTAAAAGATCTCTTTATTGAAATGTGGTGATAGTAGATAGCAACTTTTTTTTGTTTGTTTTCTTTTAAATTTTGTTTTATTGTTTAAAGTATTACAAATAGTAGTACTCATACATGTCTCCTTTTTCTCTGAATCCTCTCCAGCACTTGTCATTTGTTGATTTATTGGTGATGGCCATTCTGACAGTTGTGAGATGGTACCTCATTGTTTTGATTTGCATCTCTCAAATGATTAGTGACTTTATGCATGTTTTCATATGTCTCTTGGCTTTCTGAATGTCCTCTTTTGAAAAGTGTCTACTTAGGTCCTTTCGTATCTGATTTTGTTTGAGTCTTCTCTCTTTGCTTCTTGCTGAGCCTGGCTAGAGGTTCATCAATCTTGTTTATCCTTTCAAAGAACCAGCTCTTGTTTCATTGATCTTTTATACTGTTTTTATGTTTGTTTGTGTGTGGGTTTGTTTTTTTTTTTTGTGTGTGTGTGTGTGTGTGTGTGTGTGGTTTTTTTTGTCTCTAGGTCATTTGTTTCCACAACAATCTTTATTATTTCCTTCTTTCTGCCTACTCTCTGCTTTTCTTGTTGCTTTCTAATTCTTTAAGTTGCAGGTTTAGATGGTTTATTCTTATTTTTGAGGTAGGTCTGTAATGCTATGAACTTCCTTCTCAGGACTGCTTTCACTGTGTCCCAATGATTTTTGGATTGTTGTGTTTTCATTGTTGTTTGTTTCCAGGATGCTTTTTTATTTCTTCTTTGATCTCTTTGGTAACCACCCATTGTTTAATATTGTCGGTTTTTTAAACTCATTCTGCTAATCTCTACCTTTTAGTTGGTGTTTAATATATTTGCATTTAATGTAATGATAGGATTTGTGTCTTTCATTTTACTATTTGTCTTCTATATGTTTTAATGTCTTTTTTGTTCCTCTAACTCCTCCGTTACTGTCTTCCTTTGTATTAAATAGATATTATTTAGTGCAGTCACATTCTGAAGTACTGGGCAGGAAGACTTCAACATATGAATTTTGGGAAGATGCAATTCACCCTATAATAAGGATTGGGTGGAAAGGAGACCTAAGAATAATGGTAATGACTTTTGAGCTGATCTTGGGATTCTATACTTCTAGTAGATACCCTACAATCAATAAGTTCCCCTAGGATCCTTCAGGCCATATGTGTCTGTCTCTTCTATGTTCTCTTCAGACCTTGAGGGAGACCTCAGCTATAGATAGATGGAAGGAGGTCCGCCTAGCAGTAACCATAATGAGAGAGACCGCCATGGTAATTAACAACCTGTTACACTGGGAATCCAAATGGAATCTGCAATGTGTTCTGAAACTATTATCTTTCTAAGCCTTGGAAACCAAAGTTATAGATCTTCCCAATGGGTTGGTCACAGAGAACTTCTTTTTAAAGCCCAAGGACAAACTCTGCTTTCAATTATCACAAGCAGCTGGAGAAGCCATCAAAAGACTGCTAGCACAAAAGCTGCAAATGTCTAGCCTTGACTGACAGACACTTTAAGTAGGCTCTTTTACTACCTGTAGGCATTATAATAGATAAGAGCATTTAAAGAATGTCCTTAAAATAAAAGCAGAAGATGAAGACATAGTGAAACTGTGATAATAAAGAGATGACTTTCCCTAAACAGCCTAAAACAGAGAAACAAGAAACTATTTAATAATGGATTAAGACCTTGTGTTATAAGGTTATAGCTTACAGAACAAACTAACTGGATAACAAAATAGCATCTGCATTGTGTTTCAATACTAAGTTACACATGTTTAGTAGGGAAAAACATGGGTAGAAATTTAAAATACCCCATTCCATTGATGTATTCCTATTAACAAAGACAGTTATTGATGCCTAAGATGATAAAGTTTAAGAAGGCAATAGGTAAAAATTTCAGCTAGTTACCACATTAGTTACAGATAGGTCTTACCTAATAATCAGTTTCACAGGCTCAGGTGACCCATTGACACTGACCAGGAACTTTTCTTTGAAGTGCCCCAGAATGGAAGAGCAGAAGGAAATCTGGATAGCCTGGACCCCGCTTGGCTTGATGATGCCTTCCTTGGGGCTGAAAACAAAGCAGGCCCCCAAAGCTGAAGTCGGGGGGATCACGTTGAAGAGGGCATCGATGCTGCCTTTGTTGGACAGAATTGCCTATATCAATAAAAAAGGCAAGAATGAAAAGGTGGACAACGGGCCTCGGATATATTTTCATGTAACATATGGCTGTTTTATTTAATAACGATGCACAGACAGTGGCAGGCATTAGAAGCAAAGGAAAACTCCAGGGGAGAAATGAACAGTCTTCTCTCTTAAATGTTTGAAGATGAGTCCCAAACCAGAAAGTAATTTTGTGTTTTCGTCTCATCTTTAAAAAAGAGCTAGTCATATGTATTATACTCATGCAATAAAGACCGATCACAACCACATCTACTTAAGAGCCTTAAAATATTACTTTTGGATGCTCTCTATAAAGTAATCAAGGGAAGATAGATTTTTTTTCTCTCATACGCGCGAGGAGGCTGAGAGTAAGTGGCATGCTGGAATATAAAAAGCAAGTCAGAATAGAGGAGCAAGAACTACGCAAGCCTATGTTTATAATGTAGCTTGATAAATATAAATACGACCTCATTGTGGATTCCAGATTGCAAGGATTTTCTTCCTTGGGGTATTAGATTTCATCCTATTAGGATATTTTCATCTCAAACTCCACTGGGTATGCCTATGCAAGCAATGGTTTTACTACAGGAATGTTTTCTATAGAGCAGTATTCTGGAACGAGGTCATTACCCATATTTGAATGCTCCCTAGGTATGTATCAAAATCTCAAGCTTGACAATCAGAGTCCTCCACACTGGCTCCGTCTACCATTCCTACTCCCTCCCGCAATTCCTGTCCCCGAACCTGTACAGCAGCCAGACGCTTCTATTCCTGAGCTCCCAAGACTCAATCTCTTCCTTGCCACTGCTTACACCTGAACGTGTGATCAACACATGCTCTCTGGGTATGTAGGAACGGCCCTCAACCTACACTGAAGCCATTGGAGGGAAAAGAGCACAGAGGACCCTGAAGAACCATTCAGAGAGGTATGTGGGACCTACATTCCATGCCAGGAACGTAGAGGCCAAGGGAGGAGAATTTCCAGAAAGGGTTGTTGGACATTAAGGAGAATAAGCTCTGAGGAAATGGTACAGATTTTGTGAGGTCATCACTGCTCTTGAAGAGAGGATGCCCGTGGAATAAGATTGCAGAATCCAGAGTCCAAATGTTTCAGGGGTGAGTAGGTGCAGATGAAATAGTGGTTGACTATTCCAGATTTTGTGTAGAGAAGATTAGTGGTGAAAAGTGAGAATGGAGGTGGCAAAGCTGTGAGAAGGTATGGTAGAGGAGACCTAGTTTCTATAATAATGAAAGTGTAATATGCTAATTAGACCAGACAGCCGAACGACCTTCCAGAGGCCCTTCCAGAAGAAGCCCCAGCTGCGAGGGACGAGCCCCTTGCATAAATTTCGTGCATCGGGCCTCTAGTATTTATAATAAGTGAGATAATACATACTGGGTGCCTGGCCTCCATGTTTGTGGTTGTAATAGATGGAGAACCACGGAGAACCAGCTAGCCAAGAGAACGGGGTCTGGTGGATATGGGGGCCGGCCAGCTCAGTTTGCTTCAGGAGAAGAAGAGGAGGAGGAACCAAGCGCTAGGACAGAGTAAGGGGCTCTTGCAGAGGAAGACGGCCACTCTGCCAAGAGCAGACAGACCGTGCGCCAAAACAGATATGCAACTAATTGCTACTTGATATTTTATTCATCTCTGTACATTTACATTCCATCTCCCTCTCTCTGTTTTAAGCTCCCTAGTGGTAGGAATCATGCTCCACCCTTCATTCCTTTGAAAGAGACCATATGGAAACGTCATTATGACCAGGGACTCGGAAGCCAAATCCCTGGGTTCAAAACTCAGCTCTGCCACTGACTTACTAGCTGTGTGACCTGCGGAAGCATGCTCTGCTTCTCCATGCCCCAGTTTCCCCATCTGTAAGATGTAAACACTGCTAACTTCTCAGGTTGCCGTGAAGTTCATTAATTTATGTAACCTTTAGAACAGTGCCCGGCAGAGAACGCCTCAATGGCAGTGACCCCTGTTTATAGCCCCATGCTGACCAGGATGGGTTTGAGATGTACCTGTGCTGAAGAAGAAACGGACACGCCCTAGTGGTCACTCAAAGGCAACACAAAGGTGTTAGTGGTAACTCGAAGGACCCGGATTATCTTTTTATTTTTTTGGTTAACACCAATGTTTTATAAAGTGCCAGCTCCCCCGTTTTCAAGAATATGCATGTTGCTCAAACCAGTTTGGCTCAGTGGCTAGAGCATCAGCCTGCTGACTGAAAGGTCCCAGGTTCGATTCAGGTCAAGGGCATGTACATTGGTTGCAGGCACATCCCCAGTACGGGGTGTGCAAGAGGCAACTGATTGATGATTCTCTCTCATCGATGTTTCTAACTCTCTATCCCTCTTTCATCCTCTCTGTAAAAAATCAATAATTTTTTATTTTTTTTTTTAAGAATGTGCATGTCATTCTCTTCCCCTGGCAAAGCAGCACCTTCTTACGTGAACAGAATCCACCAAACCATTTGGGCCACCGTCCTGAGACCTGGTGATTACCTGTGATGCTCCTCCCAGTGCGGCCCAACTCCTCAGAGCGGAGAAAATTTATAAGAGAACTTCCCCTTTCATTTGTTTTCCTTCTAATTACACTGGGAAGAGTGTATACTCCTGGGGTTCTGGCTTATTCTTTATGGATCTGCTAAGCTCAGCAGTGACTAAGGGCAATAGATATTCAAATTTGTCTCGAGGAGGTAACTGTAATAAATTGAAAGAGAGATGCAATGAGGCATCAGCATTAAATATGCAGAGAGTGCAAAATATTCTCATGAGAAGCACCTTACCGTGCCCTTCTCTGCTGGTGCACAGCTCTCAGAACCGCCCAATCGGAATGCTGCACCTCATTTAACGCTTATTTACCTGGCTGCAGTACGCATTCAAACTGTTCAGATCCGGGAGGGTGAGAAGTGGTGGCCTAAGGCACATTTGTGTTAAATTTAACACTTTTGTGTTAAATCTGCAAGAAATTATCATTACCTTCAGGGAAACCCTATGCAGTTTGCATCAGAACTAAAGGTCCTTTTTTCTGATGTGGCAGCTGTAAGACACAGACTGTAAGATGTAAGGGAAATTCACCCTGGATAAGTTGCAAACAGAATATCGATTTAGTGAGAACTACTGAGCCTTTTAATTTTAGTTTTCATTCCTAAGTGACCGTTTTTTCCCCAGAATGCAACATAGGACAAGGCACCGGAGCAGCGGCACCACTCTTCATCTGGTGGCAGGCCTGTGGCTGATTCCTTTACTCAGATTGGGCTCTCCGGTGCACTCCATCTCATCCTGACATTAGCATCTCTGTTTACCTTGCACATCATCGCATGTAGGCCGTAATTACTCAAGTGAATCATGGGGACGAATGACTGCTGTAGGAAGCTCTCAGCAGCAGCCAGGCAGTTCCCTCCCGTGCGAGGTTAGGCTGAGAGCTGAGAAGGCTCTGGGCTGGATTTGCATCTGGTGAGAGGTGGCGGCAGAGAAGCCAGCAGGCCTTCTCTTCCCACGGGGTATAGGGCCCTAAAACCCAATGGTTACCAACATCCACAAGCTATGTGACCTTGCCAGTTACTTAACTAATGTGGCTGTCAGGTTTGCTATTCATAGAACCTATAATCTCTTCTGGTGCTTACAGCCAAACTACATTTCCCAGCCACCCTTGCAGTTATAGCCAGCTAACTGGACATGAACAAAAGGGACACGTGTTGTCTCCAGGGCTGCCTCCTATAAAAATCCCTCATGTGAAAACCTACATATTCTTTCTCTCCTGCCGGCGTGATGCCTATGAGACTGCAGAGCCATGAGCGGGAAGGAGCCTGGGCTCCTCATTCTCTGCTGGAGGAGAGTCACCTGCTGATGAGCAACCTTTTGGGGACTTTATATAAGCGACAACATAGGCTTTTATTATTTTTGAAAAAATATCTATTTTTTACATTTGCTTGTTCTAGTATCTAACATTAATCACCTTAACAAGGAAAACTCTGAGCCTCAGGTTCCTCGTCTATAAAATGGGTATAGTCACTGTTTAACACGCAGGAAGAGTGATGTTGTAGATAGAATTCACCACCATCTGCCTATTTCTTCTTTGTAAAATAGGTACAATAAAACCTACCTTTCATGGCTTTGTAAGGATTAGAAATTATACACTTATATGTTGACAGGCACACATCATAACACATGGAACCTGACACACTAATTAAACCTCAAGCACTCATTAAATAATAACTGCTTTTGTTATTACCTCTATATAAATACAAACACTCACAATTTGGAATCTTTCTAAAATAAAGTTCCAATGGTTATAGTTTGAGACTCTAAAAACGTGTCCTAGATAAATATTTACCATGAGGTGGCATTAAATCAACTTCGATCCCTACGAACCCATGAATACATCTTTTAAAAAAAAGTATCATTTTTCTATTTATTTGGAAAGACAAAGCAGGGAGGTCTCTTCCAGAAAATGCAAGGATTGGTTTCTAAATCACAGGTTGGAGGCTGCATTTAGAGAAACGTCTGAGGTGTGAAAACAGCGATCCTCATTAGGACATTCTGGAAAATGTGGAAGGTTCTCTATTCTCTGATCTGCAGGATTTGTGTTGTGAGAGAACAAGCACTAAACAGATGGGGAGAGTATTTATGGAGTTCCTCTTTATACTCTACAACATGATGAGGGTAAAACCAATTACGTTATGGCTTTGATGTGTTTAGTAAAGTGAGGGGGGGTGGGAAGAGAATGGAAAAAGTTGTTCCACTCAACAAGGCTAGGAAAGGGGAGAGAGAGATCACGCTGGGGTCTGAGTAAGTATGAGCAATGGCAACGTGACTGTGCACATTTTCTATTGACACAAGCCCAAACAAAGCAAAGCGAGCCAAGTACCATCTGACTCTCAGTGAACAATCCTAGTGTTTACCTCATAACAGTGTACAGATCCAACAAAAACTTTTCCAATATCCAGCAGTTCAAAGTTGAAGTGAATCTTTGGTCCCATCCCTTGCCCTTTGATTCGGAGGGGCAGACGGATCTCTCGACCTATATAGACAATGAAAACTTTATTACCCAAATGATGCTTGATTACCCACAACTCATTATCAATGTGAGCACCCAAAATTATTGCACCAACCCCCAATGCTGGACTGGCGGACCTGCAATTTCACCAAGGCTGAAGATTTAGTTTACGTTTTAGAAACAGGAATACTGTTAGTTTCTTACCTTTAAGGACCAGCTTATATTGCAATTTAGATGGACATTTTAGCAGGGGGGAAAAAAAAACAATTAAAAATTTAACCCCATCTTAATTGTATCCTTAATTTCTTTCTTTATTTTTTTTAATCCTCACCCAAGGATATGTTTTCACTGATTTTTTTTTTTTTTTAGAGAGGAGGAAAGGGAGAGAGAAATATTGATCTGAGAAACATGGATCAATTGCCTCCTGTATGCACCCCTACCTGAGATCAAACCAGCAACCTGGGTATGTGGCTTGAATGGGAATCGAACCTGTGACCTTTCAGTGTACCAGATGACGTTTCAACCAATGGAGCCACAAAAGCCAGGGCTATCCTTAAGTTTCTTATAAAGGAAAATAATTTCTCTAAATAAGAGTGATCCCTGACTGATGCTCCCCATAAAGTGAGTCACCATGCAGCTCCGAGGGACATTGTCCACTTTGATCTTCCCTAAATTTAGGAAGAGCCAGTGTATTAGGAATCCGACCTTATTTGCAGTTTCTTTCACAGACAGGTAATGGAGTCCACTAAACAGTTCCCTTATTACACATCCACGGTGGACCCAGGGTCCACACAGAGCACAAACCTTTAAAGTACTGATTTATTTAGTTTTCTTTAAAAAAAAAAAAAAAAAAAAAAGGAAAAATCCCCACTTGATAATACATGATCATTATAAAAATATTATCAAAAAAGTAGGAATTCTGTCATAATTCCAGCACCCAAAGATAACTATCATTAGGCTTTTGGTGCCAACCCTTCCACACTTAGTCATATTTAAATACTGTCCATGTAAATGAGGGTCCCACCCTGAGGCCTGGGGGATTGCTAGGGCCCTTTCTCTTGGGGCATCCCATTAAGTCCTTCATGTTCTCCCCTAACTCAGCTTAACTTTTCAGCCTCTGCTGCACCTACCAGAAAGTCAGTGTTGCTAAGAATAAAGAGTCATTCCTCCCCCAAAATCTAACTGTCTTGGTTTCCCCATAATTCTTCCCTGTTCTAGCAGCTCTGTTTTACCTTTAAAATTGGTTTTAGAAAATACTTCACCTTGCTCTTCTAGTTGTTCTTAGAGAGAGAGAGTATGCTGTTCATCCAAATTACTGAGCCCACCGTTACTGGGAACAGAATGGTCAGGACAAAGAGATGTGCGTTTGACATACTATCAGCTACGGGTTTATTGCCCTCCGGAATGACTGTACTAATTCACACACCAACAACAGTACTTAATGGTTCCCGTTTCTCTACATCCTCCCTCATGGGTATAGTACCTTTAAAAAAAAAAAATATTTGATAGTGTGACAGGTTTTCCTTAAATCTGCACCATTTAAATGCCAGTTATGTAAGGAAAATTATATCTTTGCTTTGTGTGTAATGTTTTGCATATTCAAAATACTTTTGATGCTTTTTCAGATATAATTGTCCGTATTACAGCAATACACTTCTGAACAGCCAAATGATATTTCTATTTTATTATTATCATTACAATGCCTTGTGACATTTGATGTTCCACTGCCTTCTGTGTCTCTTCACTGTTTTCTCTCCATGGCTGTCCTTTTAAAGACAGGAATACTTTGGTGTTTGGCAATGCAGTGGTCATTAGGCAAGTGTTGCTTTGATTATAAGAAACAAAAGCGATTCTGGGACAGCTGATTTCTTCAAAGGGTTCCCCAATCCATCTGATCCCTGGAAAAGAGGTTTCTCTAAAGACCAGGTATATTACTGTTGGCAAAGTAAGTAAAATTTTCAGAGAGCCCTACTCCATTACTTTGGCATTTTAATCTATTGACAATGATTTGTACTCCTTGGTCAAGAGAAAAATATTTTGACAGAGATCCAACTTTCAGAATGGCAAAGAAAGGGAATTGCAAATATATTGTGGAATAAACTGCAAGACTATTTATAACTGTCAGGCTTGAAGCTTTCCCCATCTGTTACCTTGACTGCCTTCCTTAATACATATTTTTTTTTTTTAAAGGAGATGTGTTGCAATAAAGCACTGAGCCAATGTTTCTTTGAGAGTTATTAATTACTTCAAAGGAATCTGTCTTATGTGTAGCTAGCCCTTTCCCTCACCCCAGGTGAAGTGGGAATACGAGTAATACCCAGCCTTGACTTAGAAGAATTAGCCTAAATTTTAGGGTTACATTTCAAATGCTACTTTTCCATAAGATCTTTGAAGCAGGGACTTTTCTTGTCCTGGCAAAAAAAGCAGCAAGAGGGAGAAGCCTGAAGGAACTAGCAATATAAAAGGACAAATTCCTTATTAGAAGAGCAAAATGTTAAAATAGGGCAGTTTCTCGCCTGTGATTACATTACCTTGTTTTCACACATAAGAAGGAGAGAAATGTGTACTGAACCCCTTTAACAGCTCTGAAATTCCTGAATGCAACAGATTTACTGCATTAAGTTCCAGGAAATGTAACCATGAGCTTTCAAAAATTTGCCATCTAAGATATCTTAGATGTCCACTATTATACTTGAGCTCTATTCCTGTGCAATAAGATAAGAAAAAAAGGGGGGATATAAATAGGAAGGACAAACTGCCATTATTCACATATTTTAGGACTATCTGCTGGAAAATCCTAACAAATCTAGAAATAATCTTTTAAAACTAATTAGAGTAAAATTGATGGTTATGAAATCAATATACAAAAGTCAACTGCATTTCTATACGCAGCGACAATCAGAAAAATTAATTCTCAAGATACTGTTGACAACAGCAACAAAAATATAAAGTACCGAGAAATAAATTTAACAAGATATAAGATCTTCAATGAGCAAAATATAAAACTTTATTGAAAAATATTAATAAAGACCTAAATAAATGGAGAACTAGACTATGTTATTGAAAGGGAAAACTGACTCAACATCATAAAGTTGTTAAATTTTCTCCAACTGATCTATACCTACAACTTTAATGTTTTAATAAACAAAACGCCAGCAGGTAGAATTTGATGGGTTGATTACAAAATTAAAAGGAAAACAAAGGGCCAATTAAAACCAAGACATTCTTAAAGAAGAATAAATTGAAGGGACTTGGCATTAGTATCTTGAGAATTATTTTTTCTGATTGTTGCTGGGTATAGGAATGCAGTTGACTTTTGTATATTGATTTCATAACCATCAATTTTACTCCAATTAATTTTAAAAGATTATTTCTAGATTCGTTGGGATTTTCCAGCAGACAGTCCTAAAATATGTGAATAATGGCAGTTAGTTCTTCCTATTTATATCTCCTCTTTTTTCTTGTCTTATTTTCAATAAAGTTTTATATTTTACTCATTGGACTTGGCCTTTCATAAATTAAAATCTATTATAAAGCTATTCTAATTAAGATAATGTAGTATTGGGGCAGAAAATGCAAAGATGACTAAGGAAACAGAATACAGAACAAGAATAAATGCACATATAAATATAAACTTGATTTATGATGGAGCAGGAATTGAATATCAAGTAAGAAAAGATGAACTATCCTATATAATAAAAGGGTAATATGCAAATAGACCAATGGCAGAACAACTGAACAACCAATCAAAGCATAATATGCTAATGATATGTATGCTAAGGATGCTAAACAACTCACTATGATGTGCACTGACCACCAGGGGGCAGATGCTTCGACAAGTAGGTTAGCTTACTACTGGGATCTGGCCCATCAGGACTGTGCAGGATCGGCCAGACATACAGTGCTCTCCTAAGGTCCCTCCCCAGCTCTGATCGTGCGCTGGTGGGGTCCCTTGGACTGATCTGTGCCCTCTCACAATCTGGGACCCCTAGTGGGATGTTGGAGAGCCAGTTTTGGCCTGATCCCCGCAGGCCAGGTCAAGGGACCCCTCTGGTGCATGAATCCATGCACCAGGCCTCTAGTATAGTATAAAGAGCTAGAACAACTGGGCATCCACATCTGTGTACATGTGTATTTTCTTCTTTTTCCTTTTTTTGTTTTGTTTCTTTTATCTTTTTTTATTTTTATAGTTAAAGCTTTTTAAATAACTTTTAACTTATGGTAGGGCTAGTCTTCTCAGATTATTCTTGTTTTTCTGAATTTTCTAGGCAACCCTCATTTATTTCCTCTATAAAAAGGTTGGTATCAACTAGTTATGATGCTGCTCTTCCTAACCAAAAACATGAGCATACATTTCTATTTGTTCAAGTTTTCTTAAATCTGGGTTCTTTATACATTTATTTATATATTTATATATTATTCCCTGTGTTTTTGTGTTTGAAATATTTTAAAACTGAAAAATATAATTTAGTGGATCAAGAAAATCATTTCTTATTCATATGACTAAGAAACCTTATATTATTAAGAGGTTGCAGTCTGATGAGTTTTGAGAAAGAAAAGCTATATATACATTAAATATTACTCAGTTATTACTCTGAAAACCCAAAACTGTTTTTAATGATTGGGGTTATTTGAGTTTTTGTTTCCTAAATCTAATTAAATCTCAATTCCTTAATTAGGATAAACATCAAAAGTCTTAAATTGTGCCAAAAACTTAGATATCTCTCTCTTATGGTGTACAGAATAAAAAATGGACAATGAGGTTTCATCTTAATTGGATCTTTAAAGGAAGCAGGTACATCTGGAACCATTTTTCTGAAGCATCCATTAGCGTTATCTAACAATACATTTCACAGTTTAAAATCAGAAAGTGTTGCTTCCTTTGAGGTGCCCATATGGTGATTCAAACCAAATACATGCTGTTTCCCTTTGAGTTTTTTAAAAAGGTAATCTTGGTGATTAAACTCAGAATTTCCACATTCCATTCGAAAGTCAAGACAGATGAAAGATCAGTTTCAAGACCTGGATCAAACCATCGGCAAGTCTTTATAAATATCTCACAGGTTTAACTACTTCTAAGAAAATCTGAAATCTTCACATGAAAAAAAAAAATGTCAGCTTCAGATTAACTGAAATATGTTAATGACGTTAAACTTGCCATAATCAGATCATGGCAGGTCACTCCCCTGCTTTCCGGCCCCTGGGTGGTTCCCCACTGCCCCCAGGATGAAGTCCAAGGCTCTGAGCCTGGCATTCAAGCCTTCCGTGAACTAGATCCCACCTCCTACTCCAGCATCAAATCCCTGCCCCCATCACCCGCTCCCAAGTCTCCCTACCTCTTTCTGTCTCTCTATGTGGGTCTCTCTCTCTGGCAGCCACACCCTAAGAACTTAAGATTCTTTGCCATTTTGTGCTCTTGTTATGTCCATTATTCATTGTGTTTTTCTATGTATCAATATTTTCACTAAGTATATGCCTGTCTGACATGCCCAGCCATAGACACCCTTTATTTTCTTATATTAACAAATACTTTAAGGGTCACTTTCTCTGGGGGCCTTCCTTGAAAACCCTAAGAATAAGCTGTGCATCCTATACCATCCTCTTCCATTGTTCATTCATTCACTGTAGGGCACTGCAATATAAGGGTTGGTTTGTGTGTCCGTTTCCCCTGCTCATGTCAATGTTATCTGAAGGTAGGAACTATGCTTTTATACACCTTTGTACTCATTGAGCCTAGATATAAAAGCTTTAGAAAGAAATAAGGTTGCAGTTGGGAATTATGGATTAAATTTTGTGCACCCCGAGAGGCCTCTCTCGAGAACAGTCATGACCTTCCCTGCTACTTCCTGTCTCTGAACGTGCATTCGCAGAATGGCACACTATGCAACAATGACACTGAAATACAATTAGAGCTACAAGGAACGCCATGGATAAGATGTGCATATTGATGTCAATGATGTACATTTCAAATACAGGCTGTACTATACTGCATTCTTTCAGAGTATATACATGGGGTAAAAACTATCAATTAAAGCAATGAATAATGATCATCAAAGACAGAAGAGTGATCATCTCAAGGGGAGGTTGGGGTGAGCGGAGTGTGACTGGGAAGGAACACACCAAGGGTCTTCTCAAGGCTGGAAATATTTTATTATTGGTCTTGGTGGTGATTACATACTGGGTGGTGATTTACCTTATAATTATGTTATAATTTATATATGTGTATTAGTTCCCTATTGCTCTACAACAAATTACCACAAATTATGTAGCTTCACATACAAATTTATCTTAAAAGTGCTGGAAGTCATGTCTAATCATTGTGTTATACACCTGAAACTAATATAATATTGCATATAATACTGCATGTCAACTATCATGGAAACATCTTTTTTAAAGTTCTGAAAGTCAAAAGTCCAAGATGGGTCGCACTGTGCTAAAATCAAGGTGTTGACAGGGCTCTCTTCTGCTGGTTCTAGTTTAGAGGAAAGCCCATTTTCTTGCCTTTTCCAGGTTCTACAGGCTGTCTGAATTCCTTGCCTTTCCCATCTTCAAAGCCAGAAATGGCGGAGAGAATCTTTCTCATATCACATCACTCTGACACTGAAACTGACAGCTTCTGCCTCCTCTTCGATGTTTAAGGACCCTTGTGATTATACTGAGCCACCCACACTATCAGGATAATCTCCTACCTCAAGGTCAGCTCATTGGTAACCTAAATCCCATTGCCTGCCTTAATTCCCCTTTGCCATATAATGTAACCTATCCACAGTACCATAACCACAGGTGCTGGGAGCACAGGCATATTTGGGGGGGCCATCTCTCTTCCCACCACAGCATGTATTATATACATTTCTGAATCTGTGTTCTATTTCTTAGTCACAAAAGATTAAAAATTAAATTGTGGTATGTAAATAAAATGCAACCATGAAAAAAAATGGTACTTTTACATTTAATGTTACAGAATAATCTTTAAGAAATATTTTAAAAGCAATGTCAGAACCATCATGTAAAATACCAGTATGCTATCAGTTATGCATAAAGGTGTGAGGGGAAGCAAATCTGTATGTATTTGCTTCTATCTCTCCAAGCATATAGGAAAACAGAAGCAAAGCAAAATAAAATAAAGCAAAGGTAGGAGCTTTGCAATATGCCTAGGCGGTATTTCTTAGTGACCTAAAACCAAAGGTTTTGATGAACCCTTTGAAGATAATGGTAAGGAATCATTATCAGCTCCTGAAAAGACATACAGAATTGCATGGAATTTACAGGGAAGATACTATAGAATTACTATTAAACAAAACTCTTCCCTGTTATGTCTTTTAAAATACCACTAATAGCCCTGGCCACTGTGGCTCAGTTGGTTGAGTACTGTCACATACTCCCAAAGGTCACCAGTTTGATTCCCCGCCTGGGCACATGCCCAGATTGCAGGCTCTATCTCCAGTAGGAGGTGTATAAGAGGCAGCCGCTTGATGTTTCTCTCTCCCCCTCTTCCTTCTTTGTAAAAATATGTTTTTACAAAAATAGGTTTTTTGAAAAAAAATATTTTACAAAATACCACTAATAAAGAAGAATACCATGCAGATGGAAAATCGTTCTATTCAGTTTACCTAGGATGTGACTTGTGGAAAAATTAAGAATTACAAATGGAACAATAGATAAGTACAACTAATTACTCAATGTTTGGGAACCTCCTAAAGAGCAGCCAACCCCCGTGGAATATGACCAAGTACAAAACGTCCCAGGAGAGCCACGGAGAGGAGGGAGGTCCCACCACCTGTGGCATGGGGGCCTCCGGAGCAGTTCCAGCCTGTGTCTAAGCTGATGGACCAACGTTTCCTTCCGACCCCTTAAGGAGCCTGGAATTGATGATGCTGGTCTGAAGTACAGAAGCAGACTATGGCAACACAGACACTCCTAGTTCATTTTGCATTTATCCTGAGAATCCCACGGTCATGGGCAAGGAAAGACCAGATCATACTAGGCTTCATTCATTCCATGTTGGCCATTTTGTTTTGTTCTTTCAGTTTGGGTTAGTGTGATGTTTCCTCATAATTAATTAGACCCAAGGGAGGTATTTTGGCTGTCATATCATTGAACAGATGCTGTGTTCCCATTGCATTCTAGCCGGGGGCCGAAGAAGTTATTTTCCTCTGTTACTGCTAGTATTAACTAAGATAACATCCACTAGCTTTCTTCAGTAGAAAGTTAATTTCTTCTCCTTATAATTAGTAAGTATTTTGAAGGAGAATATTTTGAGGTTATGTAAGTTACTATTCCACATCCTACTTTCATCCATTAATTTTAAGATCCATTGATGTCTCTTACCTGAATTGGTTATTACTCTATTTGCCAAGTGGTAAATCTTACTGAGTAGATTCACAGAGTCCTAATTAGTCACTGGATTATAATCTATTTGTGTCATTATTTACAAGAATAAACTTGCATACTCAGAGCTATAAACCTACCTACCCCGGTATGTATTTATTTCCATACCTCTGCATATAGCAACTGTGTTCATAATAACAACTCCAATTCCATTCCAATACTAAAGAGCTCACCTTAGTCCTCCTTCTTTCCATTCTATGCCTCCCTTTTCCAAGAGTAATACTAGCTGTTGGTATCCTCAATATATTTACTTTTTTGCTTAATTCCTCAATCTATATATAGTTCACAGAAATCATCAGGTTGCCACTCTACTTACACACCCTCCTTGTGGCTCTGGCCACTGCCAGACTACTACCTTGCCATCCCACCTGCCATACATTATTTTATAAAAATTTAAAAAGAAAAAAAAAGTAGTCAAATACTACAAAAAATAATAATTTGTGAGAATCTGTCTCAAGGAATGTTCTTACTGCTCTAAAAATCAGATCCATGATTTCCCATACCAACCCCCACCACCACACCACAATTCTAGTATAACGTCAGACATTGGTCTATTCTAGAAAGAAGTGAATAAGTGCATAGCTTAATTCCATTATTCCTCTGTTGATATCATCCACTGTCCATAGCACTCATGCTTATTCTCTCTCTCTCTCTCTCTCTCTCTCTCTCTCTCTCTCACACACACACACACACACACACTCAGAGGCATCCTACTGCAGGCTCTGGGCACTTGGTAGCCTGCCTTTACCACACAGAGTCTTCACCTGAAATGTCACAGTACACAGTCATCTGGTAGAGCCTGGCTTCCAGAGGGTTGAAGTACACAGTGACTTCAGCTGATGAGTTGGGCCAGACATCACCTTCCTGAAAAACAGGAAAGAATCGTTAAAAAACAATATGATGAAGGGAAGGTGCTGCTTTTAAATATTATTATGTTAAAACTCTAGGGAATAGGAAGGAAATATGTTTACAATAAATAGAAGAAAGCAATATTTTACCCAACAGACAGTTAACTCGGGCTACTTGTTAAGAGGTGATACAAGTTGGAAACAAGCTTTAAAAATAATTTCAGTGAGTTTATGAATATATAATAAGTTTAAGTAAACTTATTATATACCAATGTGCACCCAGCACTGGGCTTCCGAGATGAAGGGTGTGGCCCAGGGCTGCATGGAGCTCACATGTAGGACGGATGATTAATATGCATACAAATATTCTATAATATGCATGCTAAGTGCTGTGCCTGTATAAATAAAGTCCAGATGGGCCACAGAGAAAGAAGTGCCTAACTCACTTGATAGAGGGACCACATTCCTAAATTTTGAGTGACAACATAAGGAAATACTCTTATTCTGGGAAAACACTCAAACCACTCAAAGTGATAATGAGGAGACCAAGTTTTGAAGTTTTGTAATGCACATACCATACATCAGAATTCCCTGGAGAATGTTTAAGAGGTAATCTTTGAAAAGTGTTTTGTACCAAGCATGTAATCTGGGACCAGTTCATTAACTTCTTAGGGCTATAAAAGTGGATGCTAATATCACCTGCCTCAAATAGTTTCCTAAGATCAGACAAGGTCATACAGGCCCAAAGCTTTGCCCCATGCTCAGTACATAGTTGTTTAAAGTACAATTGATGTTATTTTTATGGCCACTTGGAGAGACTACCAGCAAGATGAAAGTATTGGAAAAACGAGGGTAGAAAAGTGAGTTTTTTTTTTTTTTCTAGGGTTTTTGTAAAGAGAGCCAAGTAGGGCATATGTGATAAACACACCCGAAAATCTGTGTAGGTGGTGGAGTCTAAAAAGGAACGGAGGGAAGACAACATGATAAATAATTAGGCTCCCGTTTCAGACAGTCCCCGGTGCACATCCCATTTCCAGCCTGATTAGAAATGAGCACGGTGCTGGAATAAAGAATCAAGCAGAGAACGAAACAGTCCGAGGGGCAGATGCCCAACGGGGTGATAGACAACGAGAGCCAATTTGCATTTATTTATGAAGGTAGCAGTCGGATCAAGGTGCTTCTCGGGCAGCATCCCCGGAGTGCTAAAAGGGCACAGAGCCCTCAAAAAGCAGCAGTGAGGGCTGCGTGTCCCTGGGAGGGAGTCCTGGGAGCTCTGGTCTCCCCAGTCAGGTCTCTGGAATGAAGGCTCCATGAGGGCGGGCCCTGTTCTATGCCAGGACCTCAGCCAGAAGAGGCTCATAGAAGAGATCCACACAGTTCCTCAGTCAGCCGTAGCCATTCACTTTGCACAGTGTATAGTTATTAGCAGATGTCTGTTCATCTCTGCAGCCTATTTCTGCCATTTTTCTCCTCAACTGGAATCACAGAAGTCATACCATGTAGAGCTGCAGGGAACAGGGAATCCCTCAGCACTTTCACCGATTTAGGCATTTCACTGTGGCACTTTTCCAAACCTGATAAGTGGCAAATACCCCTATGATTACTGGGGGTCTTAGTGATATGAACACTCATGGACAGAAAGGACCGAGAGCCCGGGCAGAAGAGGTGGTTCATCCATTCACTGGTGCATCAGTGGGTATCCCACTTCACAACTCCTGAAGACCCGGGTTTCCTCCTAACCCCTGAGACAAATGCATTGCCTGGTGGGCTTAGACACGACTCTGATTGAGAGTATAGACTGGACGCAGCTAAGCTGTTCCTGTGCAAGCTGGAGGACCCTAAAAACATTGCTAGAAAAGTCTCATCAGAATTGTAGGAAATGATGCAGTGGATGTCAGGTAAGTTTAGTGCACGCGGGCAAATTCGAGGGCTTATGACTTGCGCTGAGCCGGATCACTTCCAAAAGCATTATCCCAGCAAGAGAAAGATAATCCATGGTCCATGTGCAGACAAGAGAGCCGCAGTCTTTAAGCTCTCTCCCGGGAGCACTCTTGGAGACCCCATCGTGAAAGAAATATGATGATTAAACCTGGAGTGGAGGGAGGGCAGAGCTGGAAAATGGCAGGACAGACATGCTCCAGAGAGGCACGCAGAATCCCCCCAGGGGAGGAAGTGTTGACAAACAGATGTGATCTGATCCGTGAGTGATGGGCTGAGGTGGAGGTACCCTGGAGGCTGGGAAGCCCTTCTGCTTGGTGAGGGGATGCCGGTGCCAGAGCATCCGAGTCCACAGGGCTCAGCCTGAGCGGGTGGGGCTGTGAGGCTGTAGGCTCAGTGTTTTCCTATCCTGGGTCGCAGCTGTTTCATCGCGCCTGTGACATTTGCTCTAACTTTCCGCTTTACTCAGCCCAGGGAGATAATTCAAGGACAATCCTGTCCTAGAGGCCTCTCCTGGGCTCGTGTTAATGCGCGCTAAGAGGGCTGTGTGTGTCTGTGGAAGCACAAGTGTGGCCGCTCCGTTTCCTCCTGCAGAGGGATGCTTTCAATAACAGGTCATTTGAAGGAGTGAGAAACATGTATTTTTCGATTGGGATTAGAGGAAAAACTAAATAACATCTCCTTTTTTTTATATATAGCAAAAACTCAATATAGCATTTTCTATAGCAAACCAGAGAGAGCAAACCCCAGAAACGGGTGGTCAGCCTACAATGGCCCCACTTTCACTTATATATCTTTGAACCGCTTCATATTGCTTCTCCAATACTTCTGAAATTAACTCCCCTGTCATTTATGTCTCTGAAAAGAATTTTTCTTTCTTTATTGCTCAGTTCTAAAGTTCCTTTCTGAAAATGAAAACATCCAGACATTTCCCTCCTGGCTCTGACGTCAATATCCTGTCTGTCCAAGCTAAGGAAACAGCCCCATCACACAGACCCCCCCCCCACCCCCCCTTGCAGGTCTTCCTTCCTTCCACATACTCCCCCTCTCCCATCACCATCCCTTTTCTGGCTCCAAATCAGAGACTGAGGATGCAGGATCTAACTGGGAAGTGACTACTACCTTGTTTATTGAAAATGTCTGCCAAAATGGCCTTCAGTTATATTGTGATTATCTTCTTTCTTGGTCTTAATGTTTTGTTTTCCCCTCAGCTTCATAACTACATTTCATGTATTGAAATGTTAAGAGGCTAATTCCAATGTAACCCTTATTTTTTTTATGGGGGGAGGGGAGGAGGGAGGCTAGCAATCTGAATCTGTGCCTGTAAGCCCAGTGTACGTTCTTGATAACCTATAATTAAGTCATTGCCCCTTTCTCCACAAACTGGTCTTGTAAGACCTGTTACCTAAATGCTCACATTTTACAGAGGCCATAAGCCATGACACAGCTCCTGGAGGGGGGTTGTCAGGGCTGGCGCCAGGCGCAAAGCCCATTAAAGGTCCAGAAGTATAATCCATATTTGGGAAAAAGACACCAAAAGGGATAAAAGAGGGGCTTCCACCATATTGGTTTGCTCAGAATTTGAGAGGCAACCTCCTCCGAGTCCGCCAACATAATAAAGCTGTGTAACTCCACTTCTCTAAGCGTTGCTTGGTTTTTCTCCGGTCTTCTACAACGGTACTAAGTGACCTGCTAGAAGGAATCGACTGAATTTTCAGGTCTAACACTAACTCCCACAATGCAGTTTTTGGCCGAATATTAAATACCCCTGGAAATGGAACTTCATATTTCCTCTGGAACAAGGACAAACAAGTGGCGTAAGGGACACAGTCCCAAGACTTTCTGAAAGCTGTTTCTGAACAGACTGCCCCTGGTTCATGAGACGTGATTAATACAGTCATGAGAATGGAGGAGGAAGAGGGCATAGAAGGGATAAATGGTGATGGGAAAAATAAAATAAAATTTTTTTAAATGTTCCCCTTAAAAATTATACTAGTAATGATTAAAGGAGCTCTTTTAAAAATCCCCCTCGAAAAATTCTTAAGTAAAAACAATATTTTAAAAGTCACCTTCTTTCCTCTTCTCTATTACTCAGCTCCTCCCTTCCTTCCTTCATTAAAGGGTTATTTCTTACATATTTTATAAAATCAAAACCCAAACTGCAAGAACATTTAAGTTACTACTTGGTTTACCTGGAAAGTAGTTTACAATATGACTCGATACCTACATTTATCATTTAAATAGTTATTTTAATTCCCAATTTACACATAGAAGAGTGATCCAAGTGTCTGCCTACTCAAATGTTATACTCTCCAATCATACCTCGAATCTGACAAGAGACCGAATCATATCTAAATCCAAATCATAATACTTCCAGCCATTAACTGAGAGCTCATGTTCCCCACACTGTGTGAGGTGCCGGTATTTACTGTCTAGCTCAGTCTTTACAACCTTGTGGAGTAGTATTATCCCCATTTTAAAGATGAGGAAGCCAAGCCACAAAGAAGTTAAGTATCTCACCAAAGGCCACACTAAAAGTAAGTGGCAGTACTGGGTTTCTATAATATTCTTTCTTTAACATCTTCATCCCCACTGCAATTATAACAAAAGGTCAGGCCTCACCTTTCTCACATCATTAAAAAAAAAAATGCTGGAAAATTTTAAAAACACGACAACTGATCATCAGACTTAGAAGAAGCCAGCATGAACTGACGCTCCTGTCCGGCGAACACAATAGCACACCCGGCATGCTCATGCGCTCAGGTATCTTGGAAGGTGACTCACAGGAGGTCCTTGTGGATGACAGTCAGCCCTAGTGTTTTGCAGCTCTTTGAGAAATGCCTTGGCAGATCTTTATCGAGCCATCTGGCCGGGCCAGGGTTCAGTCGGCTCAGAACAGGGTCAGTGAATAATGACTTCAAGAGCTGCTAAAACTTAATAAATTGTTGTAATAAATTCCATCACATTACACCAAAAATGGATATATTCTTAAATATGTAAATAAATATTTTCAGCTATCTCGTCATGGTTAAGGGAAATTTAAAGACTTTCTCTTGGAAAATAAAAACTCAAAGTCAA